TCCTCGTTTTTTCCAACTGACTGGATATGGTTTTCAACGTAAATTGTAATACTCCAAAATTATAAATATAAAGTGTTCCCTCTATCCTCGCGCAGTAAGGTTTTGTACCCTAAATATTTTCCAACCAAGAGCGCAATAAAGGTCAACAGCCCTAATGAATGGCAATAACAAACAAAGACAAATTAAGAACCCCCCGGTGTGAGGCTGATAAAAATATTTCTGGGTCGGCTGGACAGGTGCGAACACAAGAACCCGCTCACGCTGTCTGACTGCCTGACTGCCCACCCCGTCAGTGCGCCAGGGCGGCGCGGGGCACCACCCAAAACCCTGCCGTGGGCCATTATATAATTACAGTGAATGCTTAGGAGATAAAGCAAAGATAAAGGACGGACGAATAAAAGGAGGAAGGACCCTTTACTACCCGGTCCTTCCTCGTGATTAAAGGGATCGCCCAGGACGCCCGCGGCACGTTTAAACGTTTCCGGCCTGAGTCATATCCAGCCTCCGCGGCCGATCCCACCGTAGCAAAGGTAATCGTATCAAAAAAGCGAAACGACAAAAAAGCAGCCGGCGGCGGCGGTGGCAGCAGTCGTACTGAAAATAATAAAAAGATTCGGCCTGGGTGCGCGCGCTTTGAAAAGGACACGGAAATGAGGCCGATTCGTTTCGGATCGCATGACTGGACTTTCACCGCCCGGTGTGTCCGGTGCGCCCGGTGCGCCCGGCCGGCTCACATGCCCCATTCATGAGCTTCGGCTGTCGCGCCTGTTTTGGGGTTTATCAAACAAAGCAGCTTTAACACTTTCTTTTCACCAAGTGCGGACTTTGCTGCAACCTGCAACTTAAAAAGCCCAGCATACCCCATCCGTCACTGCCAATTCACAAAGAAAACGCTGCCTAATTTCGGGCCATTTCTCAAAATTATTTTTATGATTAATTTTAATATGCGCCAAGATCTTTGACTTAAGTCTCTCAGACAAATGTAATCTGAATTAGAAGGAGTGTCACAATCTGCGCGAGTGTCATTCACCTTAATACAGTGGCGGTGGCTTTAACCTAGTAAATGACAAGGTTGAGGATTTATACTGCCACATGAGTGACATAATGTAGTTTTACCAAGCTATAGGTGTGCTGATGCAACTCATGAAAACTATCACAGGGCACACGCGTAGGACGTACAGACTCACCACATCGTTACAAGGTATCCAAAACACGTTTTAAGCCACTTGAAGGAACAATAATCACAGTTGGACAGTTTAACGCTTCACAACAACTAGCACAGGTGTTACGCTAAGGTGGTAATATGGATATCCACTGCTGATTCACTTTTGATACTTTTTTCACTTTTTCTTTTAAAAACGCATCCAACGCGAGAAACACTTAATGCACACTGAGCACACACACCATCTCACTGCTGCACATCATGGGGTGGGCGCTACTCCGACATCGCTGTCACGAAACATTCACGAACACTCGTACTGGGCGGCGGAGTACTGGGCGAAACTGGACGCCACAAGCGCGCACAGGCACGACCTCTCGGCAGCAAGGCTCACGGCGGACTGACTGGTTGGCTGCTGGCTGGCCGCCGGCGCCGGCTGGCACTGCCGCCCGCCGGCGCGGTCCTCCCCCCCGGCAGGCAGACCGAGCTGGCAGCGGTGCGGCCCGCCGGGCCGCCCTCACGCCAGCCCGGCAGGTCCTGCGTGCAGTTAGGCCCCTAATGTTTTCTAACAAAATTTGGTTTTTCTATCACTGGTTGAGATGTTATGTTTCTGTCCTAATTTTCAAAGCGTTTTCGTAAGGGTGGTAGCAGCACCGACGTACTGTGCTGTGCATCTGGTAAAATTACATTAATTGACCTTGAAAATTTGACAATGTGCAGTATTTTACGAGGTGCTTTATCAGCAGTCTGATACTACACATATATGGGTGGGCCACCTAGAAAAGCACGTTCTTGCGGGTTCTTGTGTCGCCATAAGACTTCCTCGACACAAGTAACTGCCTTGGAGAATTCAAAATAAAAAATACTTGCAGTGCTGCTCACACTGTAAATTGTTTACGAACTATAGGTTCGTAATGCAAACCAAAACGTTCGTAGCTTACGAAGGATTTTGAAGCGTTGTACTACGAACTTATTGTTCGTAAGCTTACGAACAAATGGTTTGTAATGCAAACCGATTGTTCGTAAGACCGTCTAGCCTTACAAACAATCGCTTTGCAATACGAAGACGAATACAAATACAAAGAACGAAAATTGTTCGTAACGTTGCAAAGTATTTAGTTCGTAAGCTTTTTACAGTGCAGTTCTTGAATCAACAAGGGACATTTCTTGTTGCACTACAGTTCTCCCTTCACAGACCAGTGCTTGGCCAGCGTTAGTTACTCAAAGTCACCTGAAAGGTAGGCATTTTGCTGTACCAAACCCCTATGTATGTACGCATCCCACACCGGATCTAAAACTTTGGGCCAAATGTGGCCTTGCCATTCATCAAGTCAAGTCACAGAACATAACCCCCCCCCCCC